GCAAGGGGGAAAAAGCACCACTTCACCACTTCATTTCACTTCACTTCACCTAGGTAAAACGCTGCTGAAACGGTCGAAACAATAAAAAATCACTTCAAGTTCACTTCAAGTTAAGCGGAAGTGGTAAAATGGTACTTTTCCTCCCTTGCTTCCCTCCCCCCTCAGGGGCGCCGTTTCAGCAGTGAAGTGAAGTGAAATGAAGTGGTGCTTTTACCCCCTTGGGAAAAGGTCATTCGAAACAAAAACTCAGCGTTCTGTCAATTGACATACACTTGACATACTTTTTTTTTCCCAACGTAACAGAGCTCTTATTGTTATATTAGATTAGCATGTGAACTGACGTACAGAGACATTAGTGTGATACGTCAATTAAAAGAATGAGTGTGTTGGACTATTTTGCTTAGAAAAGTATGAGCATATCAATATAAAATTAGCTTTTTAACTAAGTCTATTCTAACAGAAAAATAGAACAAAACAACACTGTTTTTACAATAAAAAAAGGAGTTATATGAAGCAAATAAACATCCGGAAATGAAATACATTAACTTTACTGAATTTAAATGTATTTGGTCGAAAATGGTCATAGCACTAGATTGATTCAACAGTATTTATCAATAACAATAATAGATTGCATAGCAAAACAAACAAAAAAATGTGAGCAAGTTGCCTCGCAGATCAGAAGATATTTTCTCTTGTTCTCATAGATGCTGTTCAATTAAAAAGTCGTGGAGCAATTCTAATTTTTTTCGTCCATCTTCCTTTTTGGGTGTTGTTATGATGTTACTAGCGTGTCAGATACGAAATGTGTCGATGAGATGTAAAATATTTTCCTGTCATTATTCATTGTCTAAAATATTAAGTGAGGATCTCTAAATTTATCCACAGAGAACAACGGGAAAAAAAGCTTAGCTGTTTAACAATACTATCTAATGTCCCTCAAATTAATCAAGTCCCTCAACAGTACTGTATTCAGATGGTGTACACTTCTCATAAACTTCTCAATGATATCTGTTTTATGATAGATAGTGGCTTAGTTATCTTACTTACACATCAAAAGATCAGAAAATTTTGCGGGAATTTTCATGTTCAAAAAATCAGTCTTGATATTAGCAAAAAGAGCACTATAAATAAATACATATTCTACAAAATTTTCACGTCTTTTGCTGCTTCTATTTTCGATTCATTTTGTATTTGTTTTAAATTTGATCTTGATTTTGCATTTAATTTGACATTTTCATTTAACAATCCTATTGCTTGTGGTAAACATTCATAACTCAATTCTCCAATCGTTTGTATTACTTCAATTGATTTATCAGTATCTTTTTGTTGTACACACAAACTAAGTAATGCCATGAGTGATACATCTGTTAACGGATTAATTAAAAATTCTCGATTATTCTGATAAAAATTATATAAATGCCACGAACCATCAAAATCATTTCCACGTGATAGAAGTAATATTAAATAACTTATCAGATTTCCATTATATTGGAATGGTTGGTCTTTTTTTAGCGAATTACGAGATGATTCTCGTCCACGTTCAGATGATTGCTGTGCAATATCATTATCGGTATCAGTTTCTTCGTGTCGAATTAATGGAAAACGTTTTAATATGGTACGTCCAACATTTGCATATTGTTGTTGTCTATCCGTAGTATCATCAGTAACGTTACTACGTGTAAGTAATTGTAAATAACGTTCTAATAAACGTCGCGATTGTGCAGCGTTTTTCTCATCCATTAAACCTAACATCACCATATCAGACCATATACGAACAAAATAATCTTTAAGATCCCAATTAGAAACAAAATCAAGAAATTCTTCTATAACTTGATGTGATGGGGAATATACATTAGGTACTAAAACAAAAGAACATGGAAAAAGATGTGAAAATGCACATTTTTGTCTTTTTTCAATATTTATTTACCTAATGATTCCCAGTATGGCATGACATTATCGGGTATATCAATACGAAATAATAATTTGAAAAAATTATTATAATATGACATTTCTTTGAAACTATCAGGCATAAATCGAGCATTTGTACCCATTAATAGAAAACGATGAATACATTTAGCTAAAAGAGAAAAATATTCGATTATGATCCAAGTGCAGAATGAGCACTGTCTTAATCTACTTTACTTTAGTAGTGAGTGAGTCATTTCTATACTCGAGCAAACTGTCTATGCCAAAATATAAGCTCAAAAATGTTGTTTAAACTACTATTGAGAAATATTAATTTACAAATACCTAAATTATTAAAAAAAGTAAAATACTATACCTAAATCAATATCTCTACAACTTGTTGTTGCTTTCCACATTGCATTTGAAAAAAATTCACTATCATCTGAATCAATCCATTCTAGATGTTTTCCATTTTCTTCATATTGTTTTTGAACTTCATCCATTATCTGTTGTAATATTGTCGTATCCGATCCAATATGATCATTTGGATAAAAAATCATGATAACATGTGACCATGTACCTAAGGATGGTTTTATATTTAACGTACGCATTTCATTCACTATCGATAATGCTAACGTTGGATTATGCTCCGATAATGGTGAACGTCGTAGAGTATACAATATTGAATTAAAACATTTTAAATTTGGTCTAATACCATGTGTTTTCATTTCATTTAATATATCAAGTATATATTCCCATCTGGCATTATAATTTTCTTTTATGGATGATACTGATCGTAATAGCCAATTATACGTAACGATATTTAATTTGATATTGTTTTCTTTCATTTCTGCTATTATTTCCAATGCTTTTTCACATTGCAAATGTTTTAACATACCACAGACGATGGAATTGTATACTCGATTATTATTCGGTGATAATTTTTTTAATTCTTCAAAAAATTGTTCAGTAATACCATTCTCTTTCCAAGTCTTCTTCGCCACTCCTTTCAAATTACACAATATACTATTAAAACTCTCTAGTCTCTCTTGCACTCGACAGAGATATACAGAGAAGTTACTGATTACAGTTTATCCTATAAATATTTCAAAGTTCCAGCAAACTGACCACATCAGAAATGTTTTTATAAAGAGAGGAGTGAATTTTATATTAAAAATTGTAACTGTAGAACAAATCTTTTATAATGTTATGTATTCATAAACTAACCCGATTCATTTACTTCTCGTCGATACCAATCTTCTTCTGGTAATAATTGTTGCATTGGATCTTGACTATTGTGAATGCATAATAAATCAAATAATGCAAATTTACATGTATCCGATATTTCGATATTATCATCACGACATTTTTTATACATTTCATAGGCTTGAATTAATTTATTCCAATTTATTAATTTATAAATAGTCGATTCATCCGGTTCAATAAATTCTGTTTCTTTGAATGTATAATTAGGCAAAAATGAAGGTATCGATGGTTGTGCAACATCATTCTGAAATGCATAAGAATATTTGTCGATTATCCATCTGGCAGCTTTTTTTCCTGATGCTTTTGATAGAGCAAGTGAACGTTTTTCATAGCCAACGGTTGGTATTAAAAATGGATCATCTATATAGACATAATGAGGATTTTGTCCTTCTAATTCAACGCATGAATTTAATGTTTCAAGTATCGATGTTGGCGAACGATGTATTTTTTCAGGAACGACTAATTTTTTTGTGGCTGTAGATAAACAACGTCGAAATAATAATAATCTTAACATGGTATCATAGAATTAATTGCATATAAATCTAAAAATCTAGATATAATGATATACATTAGTCTACTTTTGTTAACGTGAGTTCTCAAAAATGAAGCAGACAAGAGGTCAACTTGTACGAGTAATGATACTCTTTTAAGGATGTTGAACTAGATAGAGCGCATATTAATTGAAAAGAAAACATTTTTTATTTCGAAATGTTTTTCACTATTCAAAATATGTTTGAAGTAGAACCTGGATAATAATACTTGTTGTTTTGTAAGCGATTCTGGAATAGTACGAGAGAAGAAATATAAAAGGATGCATTCATAACTTGTAGGTGCTCTATGTAGACTCAAAAATCAAGCAGAACCTTTCCAACTAATATTAGTACACTTTAGTATAACTGCTGCTGAACTACCCCTAACTTGGTTTAAAGTTTATTTAGCAATTGCACTTGAATTCGTGGCATGCAGAAATTCGTGTACCCAGAGAGTTATATCGACCGTTCATAGGTATTGGATATAACTATGAATTTAACAATAAGTTAACTTGACAAAAAAATTAAAAAAGAACACTATAAAAGTAAAAAGTTTGCTTAATATGATAGAATTATTAAATAATAGAAAAAAAACAACAATATACGCTTTATTTATCATCATCTTGATCACTTTTTTCTTCTTCTTCTACTGTATCGTTCTCTTCGTCATCGAACAAATGTAAATTTCTAACATTAATATCAACATTGTCATCATCTACTATCCTACCATCTCCACTTGGTTGTCGAGTTTTTCTCCCCCTTCTTGATTTATATTGATCACTTGTTGTTATGCTACTAGTTTTAACCTCATTCAATTCTTTCCATACATTATCGTCTGATGTTAATTTATTCATACATTCTATCATAAAATTATCGTCCTTATTTGTTTCATTTAAAAATTTTCTCCATAGGCTTGGATAATGATCAGATATATCTTTGACATTCAATATTTTCTTTATAACTTCATTTGATAACCATTTAATAAATTGACAAGCTAAATCTGTCCAACGTTTTAAAACGTCATCAGAAAATTTTAGCCAACGTTGAATTGCACGTAAACGTTTTTCTGTTCTAGTTAATGTTTCTGACAAATCCATTTGTTGTGATTTTTCCCAACGTGAACACATTGGACGTACTTTTTCTCGAATTGCACGTAATATAACATACCATATGGTCTTCTTTTTTAATAAACCAACAACACGATCATTATCATCAAGAAAATATAAAACGCTACCTAAAAGTAACAATGAAAGATGCATATCATAAAAAACAACAACAACCATATGAAAATCATTTATTTAGATTTAAAACATAATTATTACGAGAGTTATACCTTCACATTCATGACGATATTTAATTGATGCTAAATACTCGTTTAGAACATTTTGTTTATTTTCTATAATATCATAATCGGTGGTTGATAAATGTAAACATTTTGCTATTTCAATACTATAATCGGGTGGTAGTGAACATAAGTTAGTTATTACTGAATCAAAATTTTGAGGTACATAACTAAATGTAATAAATTTTAACTCGGATGACGTATTTTTCAAATATTCTAAATTAACAATATGTTGATGAGCATAATTTAATATTTCAAATACAGCTGTATAACGTGTTTCACATAAAAAATTTAATAACATAGTACCACGATCGGGCATTTTTGATAATGTATCCAATATTGTATGACAAAATGAACTAGCATAATTGTAACATATATCTTTACCGTATAAATTAATATCTGAATGACTACGAAAACAAAGATGAACATTTTTTGAACCACCACATAAAATTAAACGATTATTTAGTGAAAAACATGATAAATGAGCTGCTTCTCCTAAAATGATACTCATTAAATATACAAAATTCAATTCAATTTATTAATTTACCATTAATTTTTCGCGTACAAATAATTTGTTTTGCATTGGAAGGTTGAATTAAAAAATATTTTAACCACGCTCGATTATCTTCTTCTCGATCATCATCATCGCCTAATCCACCGGTAAATTTTCGTAATGCAAATAAACAAATATCCAAACGTTCATCTTTTCCATCGTCTAAATGACAATTAATTACTGCACAACCACGTGGTAAACGTTGACGTAATAATGCATTACGATCATAATATCTATCATCAGGACCACGACATGATATACGAATATCAATCAAATTACCGTCTTTTACATTTGATCCTAAAGAAAGACATATATGATATATAGACGTTAAAAAAGTCAAACAAAACATACATTATATAGCTAAAAGTATTATTTTCTCAAATATTAAACAAAAATCATTAAATATGCTGACTATTTTTATTAGTGGTCACGTAAAATATTACCAAGAATTGATAATGGTATTGATTTTTTTGATGCTTTGATAATTTTACCACCTGATTGAACCCATTGTAAATAATCTTGAATTAATGTTCTGGGCTTTGATAATTCTCGCTGTACTGTAGATATATGATTTGTTAAAAGTGTTTTCAATTGAACAAGATTATCATTATCATTTCGTCTCAATTTTAAATTTGTAGATAGATAATTCCAAATCTCTGACCAGGTTTTTAATTCAAAATTGATTGATATATCATTTGCAACAATTTGAGATGATGCCATTAATAATGTACGAAGAGAAAGAAGCGAAGAACGAGAAAATAAGAGCAATTTAAGTAAAAAATAAATCACATTGTGCAATAACTTTCGTCATTAAATATATGATGACCGAAAGATGAATAATCTAAAAAGTGATGTAATAATAGCCGATTATCTTGTCTAGAATCAGCCACAATCAAACAGTTTAGCTTCATTCTCAATTGTGTAAAGATTTCGTCAACTAATACGTCTGCATTCCGTGAATAAAATTCATCAGTTTCAATTTCAGTCACAGAGAGAGATGCTAATCAATAGTTTCTAAACTGTTATTTACATAATACTTACGGTTACCATTGTCTAACTATAATATATCAGCACTGAATACAGAATTTTAAATGAAAAAACTTTAATAATGACGCACTTTTTTCCGATTTTCAACGTATCAGCTTCAATATTAGTTTTAGATAATATACGCCCGAAATTTTTAATCATATTATTTTTCGATTGATATAACAATCAATTTCTCTCATTTTTGCCTTATAAATCGGATCGATTCAGTGCGGAAAACTGTTTTTTTAACTGTTTTTAGACTTGTTCCGATTAAATTAACTGTAGACAAATGCACTCGTTCAAACTAGATGTAAAGCAGAGGTAGGCAAGTCCAAGGCCGGACTAATAAGCTTTTTTAATCGGGCTGTGACTGGACTGAGACTGAGGGCCAATAGACTGAGACTTGACTCGGACTGAAAAACAGAGAACTTGCCCATCTCTGATGTAAAGATCATTAAAGATAAACATCAGAAATGTATGTTTTTTATTCAGAAGAATGGATATATAATCCTATTTCCATACCGCAACTAAATTTTTACGCGTAACAAACGAACGGTATTATTCAAGTACACAAAGTACTCTAAAAACCAAAACACAGAGCATCAGACTTATATTAAAGACTGACCATGGTGGTATTACTTATAAATTTAGTTATATGAAGTACACTGTACCAGGAAGTCAAATCTCTATTATACCGTACATAACGTTCTTTAATCTACTGTAAACTGATTCTAATGGAACATTATAAAGATAATCGTACGAAGAGGAGAACTACTGTACTAAAAAGCAGGTTTGACCTGCACACTAAGCGGTAAACTCAGTCTAGGCTGGCAAAGTCAAGAATCAGTTAAAGAGAGTGTTATAATTCTTTCGATGCTAGAAATGATTTTACAACCACACTCAGATACTTTTTTTTAAAGGTTTTTACTTAAATTTAGCGAAAATAAAGACGATCACAATATGGATCGACTAGAGGAGGCTAAAAGTTTAGCGAAAAGCGATAGAAAAAGATCATACAGGAATCGACCAACAAGAAAAAAAATTTTTTTTTAAATTTTGTATGATGTACTCTATTTGAGTCAATAGTGCAACCAGGTTTTTTGAACGTTCGGGTAAATCTCTACCAACCCAAGAAAAGTGCTGAATATAAACGTAATGGACAGACTCGAGCACTTTTCGTGCGGCAGAAAATGAAAACTTCGTGCGAGCACCCTCTTGATGGGAAGATGAACAGTGACTAGACAAGACGTTTGCCGTTCTGTTGCTCTCGTACCTGATAAAATCTCCATTCTGAATGGAAACATGCTTCCATATGCGTAATTACTAGAGTCATTTCTTTACTCTCTGTTCTGGATGAAAATTCGACTCATATACTGTACATTCCTTCAAAAAGACACAGACGACGAATATGTAACATATAGTAAATGAGTATACTAGAAAAAAAAAACATTTTTCTAATGAAATAATTGCTTAACAAAATATAAATTTGTCGATAATTTTTCTAGAAAACAAAAACAGTCATCAATAAATGTATTAGAATGTTCGAGATTATCATTCTGATCTATATTTTCATTTGATACATCACATATCAAAGACACAGTCAATTTTAATCTTATAAATAAATCAATTAAATCTAATTCATCTTGTTCCAATTTGAATAATTCACAATAACCATTAATAAATAGTTTCAAATGTTGTTCATTTTTTGTGTGTACAAATAAATGAAATAGTGCATTAGCAATATCAGCCAAGAAATAAGACTTTTTAGCATCAAGAAAATCCATAACAAACATCTTATTCTCATTATTATTGTATAATGTATTATTTGTATGAAAATCATTATGAATTAATCCACGTTGAAGTTTATCAGTAATTATATGTGATTGTTTCAATTTTTGTTGACAATTATATAAATTTGATAATAAAAAATTTCGACGATATTCATTTATTTGAAAATATTTTGTGTTAAATAGACAAATATATTGACTATGCCACCAATCATCTGTAAATTCTTCTTCAATGTGATCATGAATAACATTTGTACATGAGAAAAATGTACAATAATTCAAACGCCATTGTGCTAATAACGAACCCATTTGTTTATAATAATTTTCGTCAACATCAATACTTGGTTCATTACCATCGATGTACGTTTGTAGAAATAAATAATAATTTGTATCAATAAGAGTTATTAAAGAATTTTTACTTGTTGACAATAAAACTTTTGAGCATGGATAATTGCACGATTCATAAAGATAATTTTGAAATAACAATATATATTTTAAATTATCATAAGATAATTTTGTTTTATGCATTAATTTGGCTATGTATTTGATATTATCTGAAGATGTTATTAAGATTGTTTCATTCAAATAATAACTGTCTAATAATTTCGTAGTGAATATTTCCACACCATATTCACTTTTCAATATATCGTTTAATCGAGTTATAGGTGATGTTTGTACGTCAACATCGTCCTAAAAAAAAATAAAAATAACATTTGACGTTTGGTCGCATATTGAAATAACCGTGGTGAATACTATTAACGGATATGCTTGAAACTATAGGAGATTTCTTTAGTGGAAGAACTATTTACAAAATTGTCTCACTGTCGAATGAAAACGACAAAAAAATGTATTCATTCTAAACAAATCACATGTTTTGCATAATCTCTTCAACTAAAAAACACTTATTTTATTACAAACCATTCGTTCAATATCGTTTGTTTGGTGTTGATATTGTTTTATTTGTTCTTCTAATCTACCAACTGATAATCCCGTAAAACGTTTCGATATTTCAATTATTTTTTCACATAAATTCGTATTTTCTATATAAAGTTTCTCATTATTGTTTACAAATTCGCGTAGTGTAATAGCTACACGACGACTTTGTATATGTTGTCTTTGAATCGAGTGCATATAATCATACCGGGCATCTGAATATAATGTAAATAACCACCTTCTTGGCAAAGGAATATAGACAATAGAATTTTTTATTTCATTATTTGTTAAACAAATGATTGTATCAGATAAAAGATTTAATGTGACTAAGCGTTCACCCCAAATCCATGTGTTATCTATGTGTGGGTCAATACTCGAACCGCGTTCATTTACATAATCAAGGTTACATAATTCAACAGCTTGAAAATCTTGAAAAAATCGATTCTTTTTTATGCGTTCTATAAGCATCTGGGCATACGACGGCATTCCAGTAAACATGTTGTATTTAACTATTTGTTTTTTGAAATTAACTTTCACCCCGAAATCTTGTTTTAAACGTCCCGATTGTGATGGAATCCATAAGTCTTGATCGATTTCATTCACAAGCTCAGTTTCTTCTTTCTCATCGATAAAATCAGCGATCAAATATATACCATCAATGGGAAAAACATTTGACGGATCATTTGTATGTTCATTTTCTACTTTGTGGGGGCATTTAGAATTGTTTTCGTAGAAATCGATACGTACAGCCTGACGACAATCATTACAATAAATAAATACTATTTCTGGTGACTTTTGTGGGATTGATTCTGTTTTCAATCCTTCACATTTTAAACAAGATCGAATACCTTTACAGCCACACGACATAATCTAAAATTTACATATAGTCAAAAGGAATTGTACATAAGAAAACTAAGTTTTTCGGCTTTTCGGCGGTGTAACTAAATAAATATGAAAAAATGCAGATTTGTCTCTTTCTAACTAGCACTAGCCCAAGTGACTATCGCAAAATGGGCTGACGGAAAGGAACATAAAACTGAAATACGTAACAAGAATATAGAAAACTTCGGTGAGCCATAGCTGCATATATTTACCGCGAGAGCGAACCTCTCTTCCCAATCTAAAGTTGGAAAAGTTCATTTCGTTTCAGCAAACAAGATTTCCACTACAACTTGCTCCTCTAGTTTCAAATTGTCATTCAAACAGAACTCGATGGAAGTGCAAAGTTATTCGGATGAGGAACGAGATTATTGCTTGATTATCACAGCTTTTCCATACTTTAGCTCAGAAGTATTATTTCAACATCTAAAAGTATAACAAATCAAATGTAAACACAGGCAATCAAACATATTACTCTCTGGTTGTTTCCCGCTAGCCGTCAGGAGTCACTTTCTACGTCTTTTCATGTAGAAAGTGGCTCCTAACGGCTACTATCTTTGACGTAACGGCTACCGGGAAACAACCTTACTCTCTGCTCTTTGTTTTTCTCATATTTGTATCATTCGTCGTCATTTTTGTGATTGACACTGAATGAACCAGTCCTGTCGAGAGCTGTAGCCACACTCGAAGAGAACAAATCACTCTACAGGAGAAGTAACGCTAGTGCTACTGGTAAGATATTGATTGTACGAGACACTAACGAAGTTAATATTTTTAAAGAATTCAACAAACATGAAAATCCGCTCTTACTGCTGTCCAACTATTTATCAATAATTGTAGGAAAAACAGATATGAAGTCACTAGTGGTCCATGGGCTTAACGATTAAGTCCATCAACCACTAGTGACTTCATATGTATAGGGTTAAGCCTTAACTCTGTCGTAGACTAACAATGAATTCATCAAAATGACAATCAAGTAGTTGTATGCTTTTTCCATATTATAAAACGGAGTTTCTTCCCTGCTTTTAATAAGTTTTTACTTGGTTCATATAGTTCCTTATTCTAATCTCTTCCGGAGTGACATCATGTCACTGTAAAACTTGACATTCGAAAAGCGAGTGACCACCCTACAAAAAAATATTTTTATCGACACTGGTTATGCACGGGTGCGCACTGGTGTCGAATAATTCTTTTTTTGGGCACCGATGCGCATCGGTGCCAGAAAAAATGTAAATATCTTGCACTGGTGCGCACCAGTGCCGAAGTTTTGTTTTCAATCACCATTTTGTTTTGTCAATTTCTGTCTATATTAACGCTACAGTCTGCGTCTAATATTCTGAACGTCTTTTTTGACTTCATCTTTTCCTTCTCATAAGAGAAGGCCGAGGCAATGCCGCATGGTTCTGACAGTCAATGTGATACTGATCAGGGGCCTGTTTCTTAAAAAAACTTAAGTAGAAAATCTGACTTAAGTCACACTTAAGTCCAAAAAAGTCTTTGTCTTTTTTGACTTAAGTAAAATTTTCTACTTAAGTTTTTTTACGAAACAGGGGCCAGTGCCGCACTCTAATACATAATTCAGCATAAACAACCAGAATAAAGAATTAATTAAATTGATTAAATAAATTATCAGTGCGGTACCGATTTTTGCCGGTGCAGCACTCAAGTGGCACTGGTTTTTGTCAGTGTGGTACCCATGCGGCACTGATTTTTACCAGTGCTGCACTCTTTCGGCAGAATATATCGGCACTTGGTGGGAATGGGTGCGCATCGGTGCCAGCCAGTGCCCAATGGGATGCATGCGCAACTGGTGCGCACTGATTTTTATTAGTGCCGCACTGGAATTTTTTTATAGGGCATGGCATGGGCTTTTCTGTATTGGCAATTCATCAAGGAAAGTGGAGGAATTTCCTTTGTTTATCACACTTTGTTCATCACCCACTTTATCAGATGAAAAGTGTTATTCTACTAAGTGATCGATAATTCATTTGTGTTCATATGCTGTGCCTTGTATGATAGTTCGTTTTCCCTTCCTGTTCTTGATTCTGTAAACAAACTAAACGTGCTTCTCGTGTTATTTCGCGCAATTTTGACTATCGTTCTTCTACTTCTCTATTTGTGTCTCAACTTTCTCTTCAAAATCTCTCTTCGTCGTACATACTTTAGACTTCTACAGTTTTTCAAAATTTATCATCATCTAACTCCTGTTTCTCTTTTGTATACTGTTTATCGTTCTCACTACTCATCTTTACGTCTTCATCACTCTAAAAGGACAGCTAAATCGTTTTTTGCAATTGTGTACGGATAGAAACATCTAAAATCGAGTACTTTTAAAAACACTTGTTTATGTACATTGTATTCATTAGAATAAACTTTTATTCAAACATTGGTTTCCATAGAAGACAAAAACAAATACTCAGGTCAAAAAATCAGATCAAGATCTTGCAAGATCTTATGGAAAATCATAGAAACGGATTCATCTTATAAAAATCATACAAGAATCTTACGAAATCTGATAAAATCTTAGTATAAGATCTTACATCAAGAATCAGTTTCTATGTTTCTTACAGAATCTTACAAATTCTTATACGAATCTTACGAAATCAGTCGGAATCGTAAGATCTTACAACAAGATTCTTTGACCTGAGTGTTCTTAACCCACGATGCAATAATTGTCTAAAGTAATTGGACAAAATGTCTCGCCACTTTTCTCGTGATAAAACACATTTCGGAAAAATGAAAAAAATCTGTTGAGAATCTACATTTAAAGAGCTTTCGAACTGCGCGTTCAAAAGTTTTCTATCACTTTTAGTCTGCTCAGAATGAGCGAATCTTTGCTATGCCCTGAAAACTAAGTTTATAAAAAAAGAAAATCTGGTATTTTTCGACAACTGTAAGTCACGAGCTTGGCAAAATCAAAAAGCAAGGAAGGTCTCTTGTGGATCAACTTTTTTTGCCCTCGCTTTCTGCAACAGAAAGCAATAAAAAATGTTCCCGGCCAGACGGAAAATATTTTTTCCAGAGCAGGAAAGTGTGTGATCCCTTTCACCCCATCATGCACCTCGCTCAGTACTTATATTATTCCTTATATAAAAAGTTTTTGTATTATACTACTAAAACATTTACGCCATAAGATTGTAGAACAGACAATTCTCTACACAATAAGATGTTAAAATAGGATACACGACATAACGGTCGGAAATTCTTCCCGTTTTTTTTGAACATCATTTTTTACCCAAAAAGGATTGCGGGAAAAATACAATTTTTCACAAAGCAGGCTTTTGGTAAAACTAAAAGTTTGACCAGTTTTTGCAATGCAAAAATAATCTAAGATCGTCTATCTTTATCTTAGATCTTAGATTATTTACTTTAGATTGCTTTAGATTAAATTTAATTTAGATTAATTAGATCAGTTAATTTTCAAGAAAGAGAAAATTCTGCTTTATAAACTAGTAAGTAAACCAAAGTTTAATCTTTGAATTGGAAGGGGTTATTGTCAAAATGAAAAAATATCCAAAATTTTTATCGTTACGGCCTAAACTTTTGGTGATAACAAAGATTCGATCACTGTCAGGAGACTAAAAGCGATAGAATATTTCTGAACACATAATTAGAAAGCTCTCGAAGTATACATTCAAAATAACTCCTTTTGATATTCTCAGAACGTGCTTTACCACAAGAATTGAGAGGCACTTGTCCAGTTACTTTTGCATCGTAGGTCAATAAATAGCTTATAACAATGCTAAAATAGAGCTTTTATGCAAAAGTGACAAAAAATATGGTACATTTTAAAAATAAAAATTATAAAGTGCTTATTTGGACACAATGGTTTGGCTAACAATTCGCTCAATGGAGAATTAATGTTTTATGTATATTTCTGACTAAATTTAGATTTTACTCCAGGTCGCGTTGTTCTCCTATGCCATACTTAATTCATATGATCATCTCTTATAAAGCCAATTTACGCGGAACAAACGAAGATTCCAGCTTTTTCTAATTATTTTTATTTTAAGATATCGTTATGTTTCAGAGTGTTAGTGCTTCCTCAAAAGTTTTACATATTTATGTACACGTTACTGCGCTGCTCATTCTTTCTGGTGTAGAATGTGCTTGGATGAAGAAACGACCTTTGGAAGAGGTTTGACTAAACTCTAAAAGAGAAAATTGAAACTTCTATTGCAGGCGAGAACTGTTTGAATTTCTATATACCGATTTGTAAGCAATTTCTTGTTTAACGAGATACTTAGCAACATCTTCAATTTTATCCAATTGTCTGTAAGTGATTCAAATCACCGTAATACCGAACATACTGAAGAACATTGTATAAGTCATCCTTTGTTCGATTCCCGAATTGAGACCACTTTTTTGCACTCACTCTCACTCTCTGCTTCCGGCCCTCTGATGTTTGTTTGATGTCAACTAAGACTTAAAGACAATTAAGACATTTTATCAAAAAAGTGGATTCTATTTTGATTCTATTTTATCTTCCTACTCTGAACCAATATCTACATTGATAACATCAGTTTGTGTAGCTGCAAAGAGAAGGGAATATTACTTTATATTTAGTCTATGCTGAAAATCGTGCTATTGAGAAGTTATCGCAATGGTCAACTTTTTGGAGACTCAATGATAGTTCGTCTAAAAATAATTCACTCTTATCCTCTCCTCTGGTTTTTGGTGCTCGTTGAAGTCTAAGATGGCAATCTGATCACCAATTGTTGTGAATCCCATAGCTACAAGAACGTTTTACAAATATTTTTGTAAATTCTTTTGCATTACACTCATGATTACTATTTATGGAACAGAACATTTTAAACCATTCATTTTCGCTAAAAAAAAAACATCATAATTTGAAAAAGGATATTTCGATTCAGATTTCGCTGCTTTACCTGGTTTCGTTACTCATTTCGAAAAAAATACATAATTTAATGTAAACTGACTTGTTGATATTTAGGATCTACAAACACAAATAAAACAGTGGTCGCACTAGGAATGAAATGTCTCATACATAGCGCTGAAGAAACTGAACATCAACAGAAGTGACACAATCAAGTGAAAGTAACTGGAAGACGTAAACCTTACAGAACATAGGTAGTTTCGTGTTATGCAATGTTGGACATCGAAACAAATGAAGCTTTGTCATCCGGTTTTCCAGAGTTCCTGGGTCCAAAATCTTGAACCAGATTTTGCTCGACGGACCCATTTTGAAACAAAAGTTGTTTGAAATGAAATTTCGGAGATTATTAACGACCGGTTCATCAAACTCGATTTTGAAAAATACTAAAGACGGGCCCGAACTAAAAGTTTTGATAAGCATATAAAAATTTAAACTCGCATATAGATGTTTGTTTGCTGCTGGCCATCGATTAGCGGTTATTTTTGACGACTAGCGGATAAAAATCAATATAGAAAATTTGATTCTGAACTACTTCAGAAACAAATTACTGGATGCCTGTAAAACGCCAGTCGATTTAGGAAACGCGAACTTTTATTGGATCGGAAATCTGATAGGGATTTGAGTGTATACACTACACTAGTGATTTGAATAGATCGGTGGTGACTGTTTTCACTGACCAACAGACAGTACTGACCAAATTCAATTGGTCTATCCACCGGTCACACCAATCAAATGGTCAGTAAAGTAGAGCCCTAGTGGATCATCCCGATCCGCGGGCTCGGGATTACGCTTACGGGACGAGATTGGGATTTTCGCTTTATATATATGCCAGATAGAAAACAGAATCCATACACCTAATCGAGTATATAGACATTGGTTGAATTTTTATTCAGCGAAAAGAGAGAAAGACTAGAAAGCCAACTGCCCAGCGGGCAGATTAAAAAGCCGACCGAATGAAACGTGTCTTAGAAACATGGTACATACCGTTTGAATCCCTTACGTACGGTTAGAACACTGTAGTGCTCTAGTAGTAACATATTGATGTATTTAATCGGTAGTAATGTTTCAGACTATAAATGCATCTTAAAACGATACAGAAGTATAGACTGATAAGTAGCAATATGAATGCTTAATGAATCACTCTACGCTATTCATACTAAATGTATATGGAATTTCATGTGGCAATTAATTATCTCATAGAAAAGTTACTGAAAATATGCTCAGCTTTTGGGACTTATTACTTAATAATTAAAACATATATCGAAAAAACAACTTTAGCTGTTTCATCCACGGCTCTTGCACTCTCGAATGATCCTTTTTTCCAAATCTGTACGATTAGTATTATAGCTGAGAACGAGCGGCTGACTCGAAGCAGAAAGTAGGCCGTAGAAGAAGTAGAAGAAGGAAGAATTTTTTGTAGTGAAACAGAATAAGCCTCTTCGAGTTTCACTCGATCGGCTTAAAAAACAAAAAAATATTATGATCAACGGCCAGTTTTGGCATGCCTGTATTTTAGTGAAAAACGTTTTCAAGATTTAACGGGATTGTAATTAAACGTACGGGACGGGATCAGGATCAGGATTAAGCCTATAGGACGGGATAGGGGTTGGAGAAAAGATTTTTTCGGGGTCGGGGTAGGGATTGGATTTTACTCTTCGGAACGGGATTGTGATCTGGACGAAAAAACTCGATCCCGCAGGACTCTACAGTAAAGTCAGTCGGTCAGTAAAAATAGTCACCACTAATACAATCACATACTCTGCATCCATTCAAATCACTAGTGTAGTCTATATAGACAAATTCCTATTAGTCAGATTTCCACCAGTCCAATGTGTCTTTGTCTTAAACAATGACTTTTTCTTTTCTTTTTTTCTGGGTCACCTTTGGGTTCGCTTCGCTTCTTCACACATACCCATTTTGCATAGGACCGATTGTTATTTCGTAAATAATACCACGCCTAAACCTATTAGCCATAAATGAAGTACAGCACTGGAGAGACCGTAAAAATCTCTATCCAAAGCATATCTTTGGAAGTTTTTTGCATTTATTTAAATAGACTTTTCACATCGAAAACGTAACCAAAACTAAACTTTTAATACGTGCCATTAGATAGGGCCTGCAAATATCTACTTGTGTTTATGTTTATTTCAAACTCCAAAACACGCGACACTACAGAACGAGCAGCGGAAAGGATTAAAGAATCAAATTGTCAAGATGTTTTCAGTGTTGCTCCTTAGCTGAATTTTACCGCAACAAACCAAACCAAACCTCAAGTTTAAACTTTTTTGGCTTCTTTTCTTCCTCAGATTTTGCTTCTTCAAATAAAGGAAATCAAGCCGATCCTACGTTTCGACGCTGAGAAGTAAAGCCCGATATTGTTCCAAATACTTTTATATTGTACGTTATATATAACTCGTCTTAGACCGGTTATAGATCATGTTTCTGTTATATTTGATAGTACCAACAGATCTCAGTTAGAATCATTAAATTCTATTCAGCGTTTAGCTGCACGTATTATCAATGGTAATTTTACTTCTGCCTCAACATGTGAGGCGAAAAGAATAAAACTTGAAAGTTCCCCCAATCGAAGAAAAATCTTTCGATTAAAATACTTATAGAAGACATACAGAAGGTGTACGGACTTGGCTAGGTTCTCGCTAACAAACCTTAGTCCTCAGAGCCATTTGCGGCGTAGGAATGTTTTGTATTTTCAAGTGCAATCCACCCATCTTGAGCAAAACGTTTCTTGTTAGAACAATAAAGGAATGGAACAGCTTGCCCAATGATATTGTATCTAGCTCAACTTTCTCCGTTTTTTTGTACTAACATTGCTAAGTTTTGTTTTCATTCACAGAATAACTTAAGGGAAAAAAGCATCTCCCAGAATGGGATGAAGTATCTCTCAGAATTGTTTGAAACGGCTTGTTTTTTGTCGAGTCTATCTTAGATCCAGGAACACACATTGTAGTCAAAAACTCAAATTTACTTAAATTTCAACTTTGTCCAGGCAAAATTCAACAAGTTGAATTTAATACAGAGTGAATAGCACACATCATCTCTCTCTGAGTTTCTTCCACACGAACACAAAGATGATAAGATACTTAGCAGTTTAAATGAGTACAATTAACCAACCATTTTGATTTAAAAAAACTACATTCTCATTTTGAACTTTTTTCTTTTGATTTTCATCTTTTGGATCTAGAATCTCCAGCTATACTTTCCCCAGAGACTTTTCTTGCCATAATTTTGCTATTTATGTATCTGTCGCTACTCTTTTAGTATCAGCAGTGGCGCAAAAAACAACAACTAAAGTATATGTTTTTTGTGAGAGTTTTCTTTTTCTTTAGTCCTTTTTGAACTTAATAAAATTTGCTAGGCATTTTATGAGTTAAGTAAAATCTATCGAATGTTAATCGTACACTGTACATTTAATTTTGTATTTTTGTTGTTATATTTGTATTTCTACTTTTTTTTTTTATATATGTTTATTTGTTTTAAAATACATTTCAAAACAGACGTTCTGCTCTTAATATATTTGGACGAATTTTGTTCCTAACTTTTTGTTTTATTCTATTCGACTTTAGAGAAATTGATTGCTGATACTCTTTATTAATGTGAATGAAAAGGAATTATCTATATCTTGCAATTAGATTTAAGATGAAAATTTACCGACTCAGACTTTATTGAAAAAAAACGAACTGTCATGTTTAAAAAATGGATATAATCAAAATCATACGCATGAGTTAAAATTCAAGCTTGTTTCTTTCTTAATAACACACATCTTTTTATTCCTAAACGCTTGCTTCTGTTGTTCATTATTTAACAATTGAAAATGTTGAATACACTCTTGCTTAGTTAATTCACTAATGAACGTTATGATTGAAGGATACTTATAGTTTACTAGTTGATCCTTGTGTTTTTACACCTATCTTCAACTCAATGTGGTTTATCAATGGACACTAAACATTTTTATTTATGGTGACTGTGCATCAGCCAACTGGATTTCATGCGTACTTGTGACAAACCGCCACAAACTACCGCCATAGAATCAATATTAAAAGTATTCAAAAATTTATAAAGGGAGGAAAATGAGTTAAATTGAACTCCTCATTATTATTGTCAAAGACTATCCATTATCAAATGCAACAGCAATTGCTTTTTTCTTAAATCAACGTGTTTGTTCAAATCGAGCTGAATTTATTATATACTAGCAATACATGACGATACACTACATTTTGTAAGATTTGTAATAAATTATAGCCTTGAATACAAATTAAAACCTAATTACAATAAGTTTTCGCTCATCAAGAGCGTGAGGGAGAATAATTGTAATTTGTCGTCTCCAAAAGAGCTTTTTACGAACTGTTGTTGTTCGTATCAGTTTTTATCGTTGCATATCAAGATTAGCAACTATTTTACATGATCAACGACAACGTTTAGTGGAACAATATACAGTTCTACACTACCGTTATATGCATTCATTATTAAAGTGTTATAAATATACTGTCACTTTTCATCAAAAAATCCATCAACATTCAACGATGAATTCAGTTGTAGATTATGATTATTTCCTCTTCCGACGTTTCAATCATAGCGATTATCGTTCCATTACCAGTCGCTGTCTGAATATACAGATATTTTTCTGTTCACTATTATTTGCACTGATTGATTCATTATCAAGATGATTCGCCTCACTTTAAATTTACTTTTTAAACAATTTCTCTTCGGTACAATATTAGTATCAAATTTTCTTAACTAGTCATAGTCGACTTTCATGAACTAAACTTTTTTTTATAACATTAGCTTAATGCTTTATAAAATAAATACGTTAACTACACCGTAGTACTTCGGATAAACGCTTTGTGATGCGTCGCACAATAACAAGGAAAAAAAGTTCAACTTGATCAATTGAGTGAACTATTGTACTATATTATTTCACATCGTCATTGCTTATTGTGTATACTGAGAAGATCGTGATGGATCAAAACCATAACTTTATTCAAGTAAAAGTAATTCTCTCAAAGAAATCGGTTAAGAATTCGAAATTTACATTAAATTTGTTCCTAATAGTTTAATTAGCCTTGCTACTATAGCATTTCTTTGATAGTCTCAATTTTATAATAATAAGAAGAATGTTTCTTTTTTGTTGTTGAAGTTCCTTGTCCTACCTTTCATGTTTAGAACATGAATATCTGATTTTATCATGTGTAAACAATATATGTGTGGGAATGTGTCGAATCCGAATTTTGTTGTTTTATCATTCATTTCAACTCTACTCACGAAAGATCATATGTTGTTTTAGGCTATAATGTTTGAATTTTTTTGTACATGTACTCTTTTATTTCCTTTCTCATTGAAATGGAAAAAAAGAAAGAAAAAAGATACATTTTTCGCAAAAGGATTTAAATGCTAAGTCCATCAAATATTTTTAAAAATATGTGATATTTATTGCATTTATTTGCGCATACAGACTGTTTTGTTATTGTCTATTAGCCGTACATCGACAGCTATTTTCATGGCTACCACATCATCATTTCATGATCAAAATTCGTCTCGGGGTAGTCTTCTATTTGGAAAAACGCAATTATTACCATCACGTATAGATAGAAATTTTGAACAATATCTTGCCGACCATCATGTTCAACGATCACATCTTAAATTACCTTTAATTAAACCTGCTGGACAAAAACGACATATCAAAACGACAATTAAACCCGATGAATATATGAACAGTAGAAGAATATCATTTGATAGAGCATTTTTACATAATTCAACAGCATTGTCTCATTCTCTAGCATCACCTTGGAATATAAATGAAAATGATAATATTTATCCACAACAATTATCACCAATTAATTCAATTTTAGTCAATAATGAAAAATATCGTCGTTCTCATGCAAAACTTATTGAATATAGACAACAAAGTAAAATACAAGGTATTTATATACCAAAAGCAGATATGCAACTAACAAACAATCAAAATAATAATACTCCGAGTACATTAGCAGTACGAGACGCTATTGATAATAAAACAAAACAAGAACAGAATTTTGGTGGTGATGATGATCTTGTTGATGATGAATCAACTATAAGTATTGATGGTCCTCATAGAGCAAAAACGTGGGTTAGAGAACATCAATATTTTTTCACTGATTATCAATAACGAGATGTATTCTAATGTAAGATTCTACGATAGTTGTCGTTTGTAAATAATTAAACGTTCTTATCAATGTAGTGTGTCTGTTTTCATTGGTTTTTTACATTTATATTACAATGTGACCTTTAAGTTTGGTATATTTCTATAAAATTCTAGTGTTGTTAATGAAGACGATTTTTTATTCATGACAAACTTTCTGCTCATTACAAAGTCATACATTGGTGCACGAACAAGTAGCTCATATAGAGAGTTATCTTATGTCAAAGAATTTTTTGTTTTTTTACATCAACTACATCTTTGCTATTGTAGGAATGAAACTATATAGCAAAGATCTTGGGACATTTTAATGTTTTTTCTATCCAGATGACAGAATATAAAAGAATTATTTTTATATAACTCGTCGTTCTTATATTAAATGTTGATTGTATGAACAACTGTTAATTAATACTTGTTTGACTAAAAACAGTTGCTATTAGTTTAATAATTGATCTGGTGTCAAAATTCAATTTTTTTATCATTTTCATTAAAAATAAAAAAATAAGAGTATCTCATTTCCCGTATGCTCATCTATATTTTACAAGATACAGGAGTTTTAACAAAAATCTTAGACGTCTGACGTATCAGGTCTAAAATAACTATGAGTGTAATTTAATTATTTGTGTTTTAGATATCGATATCTAATTGACACCATAAAACAATTCTTTCCCAAAACAAAGAATCTAACGTTTGACGTTATATAGATTCAAAAAAAAAAACGTTGAAATATGTAGCACAGTGCAAACGAAACATTCTTGCTCATTTTTTCAAGGCAAAGTTTATAGATTCTCAGAACTTTTTTTGCCTTCCTAGTAGCATGTTTTTTGTTTTTGTTTATGTAAAGATGTATATGTGTGTTCCTTTTCTTTTTCACTATCTATCATCTACTTGTGACTACTAGAATATAAATCAATCAATCACTCAAGGAATGAAATAAAGGTAGAAGACATTGTTCTAAAACCAAAGGAGAGAGAATTTTTTACTCTACAAAATCCTTTATATTGCTTGGTGCTTTCTGTATTTTATTTTTTCGGCTACTCTGATATATACATAGGAACAAGCGATCTCATCAAAATGGTGGCTCTGGATTTGCTAAAACGTTTTCGTACTCACCCTCCCCCTTCGCTCAGTTTTTTTACATTATTTCTGACAAGATATGTGAAGAGTTGTAAGTTAATAGAATTCTGATTAAACGTCGTTGTTCTGCTCGTTACGTATCCTTTACTCATCGGGATTCTTTCGACTAATAAAGCAATACATATACATCGGATACAAATGATATCTAAAACACAATTTATTTATATATTTTTTTAGTAGAATTTAAAAACATCATTAAATGTATATCTCGAAAATAAAGATGATGTAGTTAATAGATTTTGTACAAAAAATACAAGAAATAGTGAATTTTCAAATCTGACATCGAAATAAATGTGCAATAATAAAATAACATAAAAAAAAGGACACGAAATTTTTCGTTTTAAATGTAGTAAGCTTGATTTTTATTAAAAAGTAATAAATCTGTTACTTTCGTTTCTCTATTTTTTAGAACCAGTTGATTATTTTGTAACAAACAATCAAGTGATAAAAATTGATTTAAAATATTTTGATTGATGTTCTTAAACAACGAAATTAACATCATAGTTGTCGAGATGCTGCATGACATAATATTATCACGTACACCTTCTGTATGTCTTCTATAAGTATTTTAATCGAAAGATTTTTCTTCGATTGGGGGAACTTTCAAGTTTTATTCTTTTCGCCTCACACGTTGAGGCAGAAGTAAAATTACCATTGATAATACGTGCAGCTAAACGCTGAATAGAATTTAATGGTTCTAAATGAGATCTGTTGGTACTATCAAATATAAAAGAAACATAATCTATAACCGACTCAACACGAGTTATATATAACATACGATGCAAAAGTTGTCGAGATGCTGCATGACATAATATTATCACTAACGAATAATTTGCTATCTTACCTTGTGCGTGAGCGAATGAAACAACGCTCGGAAAATATGTTTTAACAATTAACTATAATAGAACAGCAAAGATAAAGTTTTATTTCACATTTTGTCATCTGATTTCAATGTTTTTATTTTTTATTTAGATTTTTTGAATATTTATTTATACAAATGTTTGGTTCAATTCAATTATTTTCATAATAATCGAGTACCATTTAGAGCTAATTTTAAATTGTCATCGTATATTAAAAAAATATATTTTGATATTATAACCAAGTTTATCATTTCAAGTTCAAATACCAATGACAGATAATTCGTATACGTTTTTTTTTAAATTGTATACAATAACATATTTGTAGACTAACGTTTATTAATAAAAGAGATTATATCTTTAGAAATAGTTGGTTTATCGAGACTGGGTGTTTCTGATGTTTTACTTGTTCGTGTAGCAGCAATATCAAATATAAATCGAACAACGTTGGTTTTTAAGATTTTTGTTTATATTCTATGTTAAAAATGAGAAAAAAATTAGTCAAAGAACAATGATTAAAACAAAAAGTTTAACTCTCAATTATCATTTGTTTCAAAAGCAACTTCATGTTGTTGTTGTTGTTTTGTCTATTTTAGATTTAAATTTTGTAGTAAATATATTTGTTGACAGAACTTTACTAGTCAAAGTATCACTTCTTGTTGAAGCGAGCGCTATTGTAGAACGAGTGAAAAATGTACATACGCATGCAGACTAGAAATTTTCATTCTTCTCTTTCTTTTTCTTTACATTTGTACGTAAATATTGTTCTGAAAAGACATATACGGTTACCAAAAAAGTTGTATCGTTCAATCTCGATGTTTTGGAATGAATAGGCAGAGGCTACTTTACCATTAACCTATAATATCTCTTATGTCATCCTAAATCAATAGAATTTTGTTTAACGATTCCATATTTTGGACTATCCTTATCAGATAAATCGCCACTAAGATGATGTATCATTGCTTTATTCATGATATTTTCATGTTTGTTTTACGACTCGTTTGTCGAATAGTTGCGCCGATATATTCTTCATCACAATCATTATATCGAGTTTTATAAATGACGCCTAAAAGCTGTTTAATATTTAACTTTTTCTTGAATTTGAAAATAATGTTTTATATGTTACTCTAATTCAGAATCGTTATTGTTAATGAATGTTTTCAGTTATCTTGATAAATGATTCAAATTTTCAATATAAAGAACTTGGAGTTTTTTTATGTAATACGTAAAACGTTATTTTGGCGTTTGTGCATGGTATTCAGTTAACTTTCGATAATTGAATCGACAAATGGTGTCGTATACCCATTTTCTTGTGTCATTAAATGGATATAGTCGAATTTATCATGCATTAATTTATTTAAAAGCAAATTCTAATGGTCCTATCAACTAATATAGAAACGGTTATCATTTTGAGGGACATGACATTATCACTTAATCATAACCATTATAGATGTCTAAATAAAATGAGTACTTCAGCTGCGATATAATAAGAGATACTTTGTTTTAGATTTATTTATATACAATGAATTCTTTACCAAAATATCCTAAAGCATTAATTGGTCCATCGATACTAAGTGGTGATTTATCATCACTAACAAATGAGTGTAAAAGTTTAGTTGATGCTGGTGCGGATTATTTACATCTTGATGTTATGGATGGTCATTTTGTACCAAATTTAACTATTGGACATCCGGTAATAAAATGTTTGAGAAAACATATTCAAAATATTTATTTTGATGCACATATGATGGTTTCAAATCCAAAACAATGGATTGAAAGTATGTCCGATGCTGGTGTTAATCAATATACATTTCATTTAGAATCAAATATTGATAATGTGCAAGAGTTGATAAGAAAAATTAAAGAGGCCAATATGAATGTGGGTATTGGAATTAAACCAGATACCGATGTAAAACTATTGGAACCATATATTAATGATATTGATGTTGTTCTAATAATGACAGTGGGTACGGTGCTATAATTTTTAATGTTATTGCGTTTGAATTGTGAGCAATTAATCCTATAAGAAATTTTTTTCTTTTCATTTAAGAGCCAGGGTTCGGTGGACAAAAATTTATGCCCGATATGATGACAAAAGTAAAATGGATTAGAGAAAATTTTCCTTTAATGAATATTGAAGTAGACGGTGGAATCACTTTACAAACAGTCGATAAATGTGGAGAAGCTGGAGCGAATCTAATTGTATCTGGCAGTGCATTAATTGACAGTAAACAACGATCAAAAGATATTGAATTAATGAGACATAGTGTAGAAGAAAATTTATCAAAAAAGTTTAACATTAAAATAAATAACAACAATAAATGTAACAATTAAAACTATTTTCTCTTCTCGTTTTTTGATTCAGTTAACATTATGAAGTTTAAAATTCAAAATTCAAGCAATTAAATAAAAACTGTCTGAAATGAATAATTTTGACATTATTTCGTAATAGTAGGAAAAGAAATATAATTCAACAGAGTTTGTATTTGTTCAATTTGACGATAGTTTGGATGAATTGCATTTATTTTTAAGTATTCAATTATTCCAATATTAGACGTACCGTTGTACGTATGTATGCATGATCTTATATGACGTTAGAGTCACACGGTACACGAGGCATGTTGGTTTCATACTGTTTTTTGTTCAAATGCTTCAGTAAATCGTTAAGTAAACCGACATCTGTTTATATTTCTACTAAAAGTTGATGTTGATACTGCAGAGATAACATATCCCATCGGGGGCTTTTTCTTCATATAAATCTTCTTAGTGACTTTTAAGGGTAATCCCCCTCCTCTTTTTTGACCCTCTTAACCACCGGGAAAGCCGATGTTTGATCGGGGTGAAATTGAGTAGAATATCGAAAAAGAAAAGTGATGTATTTTTGCCCCGAATTAACTGATATGTTCTTCTATGGGTTTTCTGGAAAACTCTAGTCTTCATCCAGTCACATTACGACCCCTCGAAAAAATGGTCCGATCGAGCTCAAACTTTTACCACAGATACTTTAGATCCTATCGCAGATTTCTTTTTTTACTTTTCGAAAAATATACTTTCCTTCTCGAGATATTCGAAAAATACTAAAAGTTCTGTATAAAAAACTGTTTTTTTTATTTTAAAAACCTTCTCACACCCAAAATTGAAATCGAAAACGCTTTAAAAACACAACGAATCTGAGATAGGGTCTAAAGTATCTGTGGTAAAACTGTGAGCTCGATCAGACCGTTTTTTCGAGGGATCATAATGTGACTGTCGCATTTGCGGCGGTGCCTATATCTCCACCAAAAGTCATCGAAAAATTCTGAAAGATGTTTCATTTTGAAGAGCAAACGATCTTACATCAGTCTATGTATCTGAAAAACTGTTGAGTATATAGAAGAGGAGAGAAAAATTTACGAAACTAAAAAACTGAGATTTTTTTAGGCTTTGAAGGAAAAACTTCATAACTTTTTCAAGGGAGGTTGTGGAGAGCTGGGAGCGGTCTCATTTTATAGCTCAGACTCTCCTCTACATTAAGCTATGTTCAACTCAAAATGAAAAATTTTTGGCAAAAAAGAACGGGAGGGGAGGGTACCCTTACGGTAAATAATCTTTGAATAAATAGATTTTGCATGATTTTGTTTGACCATCATGTCAGTCTCATAGATAACTGAAATTCAATCACTTTCTTAGCACATAATGGCACTCAAAACGTCATTAGAACTATATCAGGGAAACAGGCCATCAACGTTTATTCCATATTAATATATTAGTTACTTACATTTGCGTCCTATGAAGTTTAATCAACTTTTAAAGAATATCGATTAAAATAGACCTCAGGACATACATTTTAAAAAAACAGAGCTAATCATGCAAAAACGCCTCCATATTGATTGATTGAACAGATTTAAATTTATATTAAGTAGCTATAGAGACTACATTTCTTCTTTGCTTGCGTAGTAGATTGCTCTTCTCCGCTTATAGGATATGAAATACTGAGTGAAAGTGTGGGGTGGACTTTCACCTTCATCCTCATCCATATCTTTTCATCTTCTACTTTTATCTTTTGTATACGTAATAGAATTGAGCGCTGGTGCCTTTGTGTACAAAAAATTATATTTATGTATTCCTGTTATGAATGAATTTATTTTCGATGTAGATAGAATGTTATAACAAGAGATGACGTGTATATTGCTATTAGACCTCGATGTCGAATTATATCAATCTTATATTTGTCCTTAAAAAGCGTGTTGCGCTTAGTAATTAATATATAGATCTTTTTCCTTATTTCCTATGCGCTTCTTCTTATATTGGATTCAGTTTTTATTTTTTTGTACTATGTAAGCTGTTGCATGTCGATAATAAGAAAATACAAAAAAGAAAAAAGTTTGTTTTTGCTATAATTTCTTCATGATGATGATGATGTAATAATCTATTTATATCTTTTCAGACAACACAAAAACAAGTTTTTTTGTTCTTAGAAAAAATCTGTAGATTTTTCACCTCACTGTCTTTTCTTCGTTTTGTAATTTAATGTTTTCCTTGTTCATTCTCAACGGATTTTGATTCTTCTATAGAAACTAATTGCATCTAAAAAAGATTAGATAAAGTTCTCTGTTTCGTGCTAAAAAATCAGCATCTGGTATTTTTCGAGAAAAACACAGAATAATTACTCTGATGCTTTATTATCAAGGTATAGATGTTAAAATAACTCAATTATTTATGAATATAATTTATATTTTATTTAACAGGCTGCATATGTGTCACTCAAAGTACTAGAAAAATACAAATGCATACACATATAGATTAAATTTCTACTAAGTAAACGCAAGAAAATATTGACTTATTGATAAAATAATATTAGTTATATATTTCTCTGTTGGCTTTTGTGGTATGTTATGTAAAAGCATACCATTGTGGATGCATCTCCGAAAAATACAACATTTCAAGGTCACTTTTTTTATCAGCCGAACCTTGACTAGTGTGAAAACGATCACTGATTGTTTTCTTATATTATACCACATAGTGCAGCCGACAGAAAAGAAAAAACGGATATCATTACACAATTAATTCGACTTATTCACTGCGAAAACAAATAATGTTGTTCTGGTTTGAGTCTGTCTTAAAGCATCGTGATATTTCGTTCAGTAATTGTGAAAAAACTTTTGTCTGGCTGTTTACACATTTCCAGAGAGTATCATAGCTTTACATATTTACCTACATTAAAGAAAATCCTGGAGATCCAGGAAATATTAATTTATTTTTAACTTGAAAAAACTTAAATGAATATTCCTGTAAAAATGTTCATATGTTGCTGTATAAAACATTTTTATTACAAAGTTTAACGTTTTCACGCTCAAAAATATTCGTTTCAGACACGTGTTGAACTTCCTTCCATCCTTCTTCTATCCCCATCGCTCATTTGTTTGTGTGCATAATGATTTGATTGAGAATAAAAAATTCTATACATGTCTTTGAATAAATACACTTAAAATATTTTTGTAACAAAATAATGAATTTTTCTTTGATGGACAGTTTTCTTTTTCTGTTTTTTTATTCATTCATATTTGCAATAAATAGTCAGTTATTTGAATTAGAAACTGAAGTATAATAGAACAAAACAAAAAAAATTTTATGTTGTCAAGACCTAGGCAAAAAACCTTCACTCCCGCAGTTTATTAATTCATATTCATAGTGTATAGAGGATAAAGTCAGCTGTGTGCACCATGTGTAATGATATAAACAAATGTTCTCCTATCTACTTTGTTATTATAATTTAGCTACATCAAATCAAATAGAGTCTTATATTCTACAAAAAAAATGACCTTGAGTTCTATAATGTATAGGTTCTTTATGTAAACTATTTATAGAGTAAAGAAACTTTTCTTCTTTTTATTTTTTTGATAAGATCTTTCATTCATTTGCTAAGAAAAAAAAATTGTTTTTCAGTCGTATTGCTGCTACTAAGTATTAATATTGTTCTATTTATTTGATGTTTTGCGATGTAATGAAAAACTATTAGTCCGGAACCTTGTTAGCATTTGATTCTTTTTTTTTTCTTTATTCTAAGTGTATTTTGATACTTGTGTATGCGTGTGTTTTCTACCGTGATAAGACCTATATAATTTAATTTTGAAAATAGACCGAGAACAGCTGTCGTCGTTGAATGTACGCAATAAAGCAATATTTAATTATATATAGTGCAAGTAAGATTATAATATCTCTTCATCATCTACAACTGTCTGCATTTTGTCAATTATCTATAACTTGATGTTGAAAACCTGCTAATTTAAGAATACCAGAAGAGAGAAACGTATATAAGTCAACGAGATTTCATCTCTTTTTTTTTTATGTTATCTTCAATTAATCGATTAGACAAAAAACTGTTACATGCATGAATGAAATTTAATAAAAAACAACAACAAAAAGCAGTTAGCACTTCAAATATCACAATAAGTGTTTTTTCTTTGTTTTAAAAAACATATTCAAAATATATTGATATTTTTCACTCAAGTCGACACTTCCATTAAAGTTCTCGGGAATTTCCTAGTAATATTTCTGGTATAGGAATTACTAAAAATAAAAAATTCTCGGAAAACATTCCTTGATAAAAAGAAAAAAAAAAGAGTTACTATGATGTTCTCTGTCGATATAAGATTAAGTTTTTGTGAATACCATTCGTGTGAATATACCCTCTCTAGATTTCTAAATCTTTTGTTTCTTTAGGACGATACATTAGAAGAGGAAAAGAAAAGTATCAAGAAACGTGAATAAATTGGATAGTTGTGCATGTGATAAGCAAAAAGAAATACGACCATTTTGTACTAAAACCCTTGATGTTTCTCTCCTATAGTCTCCAATTCTTTCTTCTCTTTTTCCCTTTTCTCTTTTTCACTTTTCTCTCTATTTATTCTGTATTGCCTTCTTAACGGAGACATCAAGTGAAATGGTAAATCTGTTTTTGAAAGTAAATAAATGGGAATATAATGTACTCATATACACAAATGTGTCGTTTCAATTCTGTAACTAAATAATATTTGAAAAAGAAAAAAAATTGGAAAAAATAAGGGAAAAAGTAAGGCGATTTGTGTATGTCTGTATATGTATGTATGTTAACAGAACTAAGTTCAAATTATTTTCTTCTTTTTTTTTTGTTTTCTCTAAGATTATGATCATCAACATTCAATAGAACAAGAACATATGAAAAAGACATTATAGGCACAAAAAATAAAATTTAATGTGACCAGTAATTTGAATGTTTCATGTGACGAATAAAAAGTATACATAGCCCATATGGTTATAAATGACGAATGCATGACTAACACCCATTGATTTTGGAAAAAATATGACATTTTCCTTTTCTTCATCACTCCACCCCACCCCATCCCTATTTTATACCTGAAAATCAATAGATTGATTAAATTTTCCAAAACCTATTATTCGATAAATATATTTCAGATATGAATATCTGTCTGTTGTATGGACAGGCCGATTTCAGAGACAGTTTGTCTATGTTATTTTAAACACACGAGAGAATGACAAACTAGTATTCGCTTGATAAATTGAATTCAAGTATCATAGTGCTTATATTATCTAGATTTACGTTCACTATCTAAGATTTATTTAATAAAATGTTAATTGTTAAATTCTCTGCTTTATTATCGTGATGTCTATTTTATATCGATTTTTGACGCTGTATTAATAGAACATTTCATTTCGTTTAGCTAATTAAATTGATATGCACATTACAAAAAATTCCACAGAATAAAATTAATGTGCTTACGTTAAACGTCTAAAAATATTACGTGCAGTTTTTTCAACATATTTTATTTAAGGAGATAAAACAAATTAAAGAAGGTATTACTTCTAAGAAAATTCTATGACAACTAGCCTACAATACACTGTAAGATTATGTTTTCATGCTACAAATAGTTTTATAGGGGTTTTTCTAATCTAAAATAAAGCACTCAACATTTTTTTTCTTGAAAATCTTCTGTAAAACTGAGCAAACAAAACCAAATCATCATGCTACGATCTCTTTATGCAGATGTGTTATTTTTCTCTTTTTGTATTTCACTTCTTTGTTTTTTTGTTTGGTTTCTTTCCAATGGCATTTAGAGTGTGAGCGCATAATCAAATAGATCATCTATAGAGGGTATTATTTACTTACTTTTTTATTTTTACTTAGATATTCATCACCTGGATATTATTTTGATTACAATCACTAATCGGTTGATGACTACAGTTGCATTCGATGCTACTAGCCTACAGAAAACATATGTGATTTGACTTTATCCTCGTCAGTTTTTCCACAAGATCTTCAGGATGTGACACGCTACCTAATGTCATACATATTATTCAAGCGTCTATCAATTTGCGGCATTGCTCTAGTTGAAAACGGAAAAATAATAGTTAAACTAATTGTAGCAATATTCCTAATATTTACAATAAAAAAAGAATTTATTTTTATTAAATAGAAAGATTTTTATAGACAGAGAAAAATAATGATCATGTGAGCTAAGAAACCGTGCAATCAATGACTATTTTTAGACTATAAATGAAAAAATATAAATGAGAAATAACTTATTCAGATAATTTCATTTACATTTAGTTATACCTATATACATTAAACATAGTCTTATATATTGCAGTACCATATGAAAAATCTAATACCTCTTTTTCTCTCTTTTCTCCCCTCTGTCAATTTATCAGCTGTTTCTTTTTCTTTTTTCTATGAAAAGAATTTTTGTCGATGACACTAACATAGAGTGCCTAGTCTATATCGACAACAAAAGTGCACTCTGTGGTAGCGAATTTTTTCTTTTTTCTTCTCTCTTTCACATTCAAACGAACAAGGGTTTTGTTTTCTATCTGAAAGCAACCCATATAGATGTAAGAAAGAACATAGAACAGCTGAGAGGAAAAAAATTAAACATCTGAGAGAAAAAAAGTAATGTATATATATTGTCTATATATAGGGTATATATATATTTATATACATTGCATGTATGTGATCCATATGATAAGAAAACGAAATAAAAAGAAAAGCAGAGACCATAGGGTAGAGGGATAAACAACAACTACCAGTACTAAACACAAGAACACAGCAATAAGTAAAGGTAAAGAAATCGATAGTTTTTCTATACCAAATTTAATAAATGATATACTTCTTATTCGTCTCGCTCCTATCTTCTAAACGAAACGGAAATGCCAAAATCTTTTGATTAACATTGATCTATCGAAGGTTGAAAAAAACAATAATATCCTGCCATTCATATACTGACATGTATTCCATAAATTGGTGCATTTTAAATCATTATCTTATACAATACCTATGTTGTTGGTTGTTTTTAGCAAGTGAAGAATGAATTGAATGTATGGATAATCGCTTATCCTCACTATTAAACTTTTATTTTATTAGTTGCTTTTAATCTACCATTTAATACTGTTTATTTTGTTGAAACTGTTAACCCTGTTAAAACCATCGTTAGGAACTTTGTTGAGGTCATCTTGGTCTTGTAGACTAACACGTTTAGAAAGAATCTAGGCTGTTTTACGATGTTTCTTTGCTACTTTACGATAACAATTTGTATCACTTCAATAACGAGAAAACAGTTTTGTCTGCTAAACATCTAAAATACATATAAAAAACGTATTCCTTTACAATGTACTTTTCTACAACAATTGAATTATCGAGAAAATAGCGAATGGCGATAGTAAAATTCTTTTACTGATTGAGCCCCCTCTGCGTTTTCGGACTTTTTCTCAGCTAACAATGTGTTCACGATTGTGTTTAAAGTAATTGACTACTTCAATACATGTACTTAGTAAAGAAGAATCCTGAAAGCATTACCATTTTTCTATAACATTATTCAATGGATCATACTAAAAAAACTGAACCACGATATTTTTTTTCGAGATTAAATCGTTGGATTACAAGAAAATTTTTTCCTTGATACATACCATTTTTTGTATTTCTAGATGACCTATTTGCCATTCGAGAATGGCCATCTCAACCATTTTACAAATGGCAATGGGAATCATAGTAATCATAAACAAGTAGACGATTTAAATGATCGACCCAAAGTGCTAATTTGGGGTCTACGGAAGTAGGAATATTTACAATCAACTATCAAAGAAAATCTATACCATCTTTTTCTCGCATTAAAGGAGTGGAAAAACATCCATTTTGAAAGTGATATTTGAGAAAATGCCTCCCGGTAAAACATTTCAACTTCCCGAAACACAAGTAGTTCAGATACACGGTATGAATAGAAAAAAAAAGTTTTTGTTTCATCTATAGTAAAAAAGAAAAAATTTGTTTACCAAGTTTTTGTTGATTTTAGATTTGTCATGTGGCCATCATGTACGTTTTCAAGTGCGTGATCCACCTGGAGCGAATCATACCACCTTATATCCTATAGAATTTGATAAATATTCTAGTGAATGTAATGCACTCATTTTTGTTATTGATGCACATGTACGATATTTTTTTTTGGTATACATCTTAGTTAAAAAAATGATATCTGTTATTTTGTTTAAGGATGAATATATAGAAGTACTTGAGCTTTTAATAAACACCATGCGTCATATGTATGATCGAAACAGACAAATACGTTTTGAAGTTTTTCTACACAAGGTGGATTAGTGGCGAGTTTGCTTTTTGTGTAAAAAAAATTAAATTGTTGTTTTATTCAAGGTTGATGGCTTGCAAGAAAATGTAAAAATGGATATTCGTCGTGATTTACAACAACGTTTGACTGATATATTAATTGAATATTCAATGGAAAACGCCTTGATTAAGTAAGAATATATATGAAAATAGAATAAAAGGTATATATTTCAATGATGGTTTTTATCTAGTTTTTATTTAACAAGTATTTATGATCATTCAATTCATGAAGCATTTAGTAAAGTTATTCAAAATCAAATGAGACAATTACGGGCGTTAGAAAATATGCTCCAGATGATTTGTACTGTAAGTTTTTTTTTTTATTACTATTGCTTAATACAATAGTGATCAAACCTATGTTGATGTTTTGATGTTTCAAATCATCATATTATAGTTTTTATCTAGCTATACCTCTCGCTAAATGATGCTCACCTGATAAATTTGGGTCGTTTTGTAACAAGTGATGGTGAAGATAGATTCCTGTAAAATTGTAATAACTTCTGAGTTAAGAGTGAATGAAAACTTGATTTTTTAATTCAGTATGGTCATTACACTCGGCTGTTTTTTATAATGAATAAATTCATCTTAGGAACGTTTTTTCCATCTATGAGGATCGTTCTTTCTACTCTATCTTGTATGAGTGGTGTCCTCATAACCATTCAAAAATATCACTAATCATATCTATAACAATAAATAAAGTAACTGACTCTAAGTCTTAGGTCTCTGCTAACGAACTGTATGTGTTTTTTCACGAAGTATTACAATAATTTAATGAAAAGTTACAATAAAACTAAACCCTATCGTCAATGTTTCACCTACATTTTTTATCTTTAAATGGTATGTTTCTTTAATTATGACGATATTAAACGTACTAGGTTCCGTCGAAAAAGTAATTCTCAGTTTCTCAAGGTCATGTTTCGATTTGTATTTTAGTAGCTAAATTACGCTAAAGTTTAAGTGACTAATCTACAGATAATGCAGAGTATTTGATGAATGTCCTATTTAAAATGAGAGTTGAATGTTTCTAAGCTTTTATTCATTGTAAAAATAGCCCAGTGTGATGACCATATTGGATTAAAAAATCAAGTTTTCATCACTCTTAACTCAGAAGTTATTACAATTTTACAGGAGTTTATCTTCGCGACCAGTTGTGACAAAGAGATCTGAACTCAAAACGAATCGACTTTTGTGTTTACGCACAAACTGTTTTTTGTTTTTGTTTATTTTTGCTATAATGCATAAATAACATGTTCTTCTCAAGTGTTCTAACTCGAGGCACTAGATTTTAAACAAACATTTGAAAGTAAAAGAGAAGCAAGCTATAATATTTTGATAGAATTGAATCGAATCAGTTTTTTTCAGTTTTTACTGATTGGTTTTGGGCTCTGAAAGAAACTCATTTATCAGGTGATCGTCATTTAGCGATTGATATAACTCGATAAAAGTTCGTAATTATGATGATTCAAGATGTCATACTGGCAAGATACTTTTATTACTATAATTTCTGTTTAGAGTACACAATTAGATAAAATATTTTTATGCGATGTAAATAATAAAATAGTTTTGGCCACAGATAACAAACCTGTTGAACCACAAATCTATGAATTGTGTTGTGATTTAATCGATGTTTACGTGGATATAGCCAATATTTATGGGTATGTATCTATTTTATTTCGTAAAAAAACAATTTCACTTTTCTCTACCTTTTATTTCAGATCAAATAATAATAACCCGGTGTTAGATTCAATGTCATTTTGTACGATAGAATTAAGTATTGGTGTAGTATTGTATCTTAAAGATATCAACGAAGTGTTAGCATTAATATGTTTAGTGCGAAAAGAATCAGCCATTAAAGAAGGTATATCTACTGGATCATTTTCATCTTGTCTTTATGCGTTTCTAAGAAACATTCTAATGTATATTGATAAAACATCAACTATGAATTGAAATGCATCATCATATTTAGCCATCAATAAAGGCAAACGTACACAATGTAAAGATCGACACTTTTTTCCTCCTTTTCATATTCCTTGTTTGAGTAGAACAGTTACTCTTATTTTACTAAGCGACTTTAATTCGAGCAGTTACGAACATGCGGATCTTTTTGAATTAACGTCCCATGATATTTACATTATCAAACTCTAGAAATCGAGAGTATTGAATAAATTGTTTTTATGCAGAGTATTACAAACGCGTTTATTTTATATTCTAATATGTAGGTCTAATCGAACATAATCTACAATGTCTCAAAAATACTGTAGAAAAATTATTTGTTCATGATCGACTTGTACAGATGGATGATTTAAATATACATAATGTTGAATAACAAATTGTTACCTATTTTTTTATTAAGCAGATGATAATAATAAATGTATGTGCGTGCATTTGTTTTTTGTAATTTCTTTTTATTTTATTTTATTTTGTGTTTTTTTTTTTGGAAAGTCAAATATTTAATGTAGTGGTTGGTTTTCTCGTGTTTTATGCGTGTGCGCCCGCTTTGAGCCTGTATGTTCGTTTGTTTTTTGTGCCATTGAAATAACTAGGAAGATTATGGTGCGAACCATTTTGTTGTTGTTATCGACTGATTTTGTCGTAGAACACTTTGTAGTTTTCTTTCTAGTCCTAAGCATTTTGAGGGAGAAAGAGAGAAGATGTGTGTGCCATAAGACAATATTGTAGATATAGCACAATGTATTAGAGAAAAAAGGTTAGTTAATATGAAATGGAGAGTGAGAGTAAAGTAAGATATTTTTTTTTGCCTAACTTGTATTTTTAGTAAATTAATAATGTTTTGGATATTTGTTGTTGTTTTAAAAACACAACAATTTTGTTTAGACTAGTCTTGTTAATTTGTATTTTCGTTTTTTTCATGTTCTCATTTAGAATTGTCGTTGTAATTTTCGTGTTGTTGCTTTTTTTTGTCGAGTGGGCTTATTTTACGTTGAACCTAAGTCTTTGCTAATCTACGTTATCGAGTTACAAAAAATTATACCAAAGTGTATCTGCAACGGCTTAGAGTTATATTCACGGTCGTTGGTTTTTATTCTCCTTTTTTGTTCTTATCATCATGAATTTGTGTGTTTTCGCAATGAATGATTCATATTTTTGTACTATGTGTGTATCTATGTTGCTGAGAAGAAAATATTGAGAGCAACATAGTGTAGTCTAATAAAAACATTAAAGAGTAGAAATATAAACTATTTGTAACTCTTTTCCCATTAAATAACTATCTGGCATCAAACAACATATTTTGATCTCTTTACGTATAATAATTTATTGTCAGTACCCTTTGTGCATAAACGAAGGTTCACCTGCGATTTGTCTTTCACAATTTGAAGGTTTTATACTCTTTAAGCAGGTATAAAATAGTTGACATTGTTACCACGTATAGCTCGTCTGTAAATAAGCTCTTCTGACTTGGTTAACAGAAATAACAAATGTATAACGTACTACATAACTCATTTTTAAACAATCAACAAAGTCAATTCTACAAATTACATAAATTTAATATGCTTCCCTTTTATTCGTTGAAGGAGGATGTTACAGCATTACTTGCAGATAAACATAAAATAATTAGTTTATCAGATGCAGGGGAGTGGCATATGAGTGTATCTCATATGAGTGCATGTTTTTTAGCCCGTCTCATTTGAGTGCGTTTTCATCTGAGTGCACTCCCATTTTAGTGCGTCTCATTTGAGCGCATTCTCATTTTAGTGTGCCTTAGTTTAGTGCGTCTTATTTGGGTGCGTATTTTTTTTATCGATTTTCCATTAAAAAAGACAAACGCTAATAGTAATAGTTTATTATGGAATAGACCGAAAAATGAGAATAATTCTGTAAAAAGGTGTTCCACCGGCCTGTGACGTTCGTGCAGCTTTAAAGTTGCCATCAACATGGACTTCTGTAGCATTAAACAAGAAACGAAGCCCGTGTTCTGTCGCGAGTATCACATATCCTGAACGGGAAATTAAAGCATTTAAGAATAAGAAAAGCGAAAGGTTTTCCCTTACCTGAACTTTGAACTTGTAGGAAATTTTCTCCTGTACGCAATTTTCCATATTTATCAGGAATACAAAGATTTCGCCACGATGTTAGTATCGGTGATTCATTTTTATTTCCTTTATGTCGATATAATGTAGACCTAAGACTTTCAAAACTGGGTATTGTGGCTGCTATTTGTGGATCAGTGACAATTTGACTAGATGCTTGAAAAGCAGCGTATGGAAGTTGATGCTCACATCTTTTTTTCATATCAACAACAACTTTTTCTGGATCTGGACCGTGCGAATTTGGAGCTCCTTTGAGAAGACGTGCGTTTTATAGATTTACGCTTCTTTTCATTATAATAAGAGTTACTTACTCAAATCTGGTTTTATATAATCGTTAGAGTGTTAAGACCACCAGGACAACCATATTCCCGACAATTCCATGAGATCGATTCTTTTTGATGACGTTCAGTTCTATAACTATATCCTTCAAGTTGAACTGCTGGTTTACCACGGCCTGTTTCGGATATTTCGACTTTAGCCATATTTCTTGACTTACAAAAGAACAGATGAGACGATGTACATAGAAACGGTGACTGCTATACGAGTTCTGTTGAATGCAAATTAAAAGAAAAGTTTTTCGATTACAGATACATGTGTTGTGTCTGAATTTCAAACAAAAGGAGAGTAAACACATATCAACGTTCACATATTCTCTAAACTATTATGCATTGTGAAAGTCAACATGCAGGTTAATTTGGCCCAGACACTTTCAAAATCTATCAATTTGGAAAATGCACTCGTATAGCAGTCAGTCATCGTCTCTTTTTACATGATAAGATCTTCTGTTTTCTAAGTCAAGCAATATGGCTAAAGTTGAAATATCGGAAACAGGCCTTGGTAAACAAGCAGTTCAATTTGAAGGATATAGTTATAGAATTGAACGCCATTAAAAAAGAATCGATCTCATGGAAATGTCGGATATATGGTTGTCCTGGCCGTCTTAACACTGTTAAAGATTATATGAACCAGATTTGAGTAAGTAACTCTTATTATAATGATAAGGGAGCTTATGTCTATAAAACGCATGTCTTCTTAAAGGAATCCACATTCACACGGCCGAGATTCAAGATAAAAAAGGAAGGAACCACCGCTACTAACATCGTTGCGAAAACTTTGTATTCCGGATAAATATGGAAAATTGTGTACAATTAAAAAAGTTGAAAACGCGAATAAAAGAGAACCTTTCGGTATCAATCAGGCCTTATAACATAGTCCTCAAAATATCGGTCTGCAGCAAGAGTATGTGGATGATGCTGTTCAAAAATATTGTAACGCTATTTCTTTTTTTACTATAAAAGATTACTAACCACGAAGAATTAATGTCAAACAGTGGTGACGGAAACAATTCAAATGTTTAAAAATATTTTGAAAAATGAGTTGTGTAATTGAAAACGCACTAAACTAAGACACACTATACTGAGAATGCGCTCAAATGAGACGCACTAAAATGGGAGCGCACTCAGATGAGAACGCACTCAAATGAGCCGCGCTCAAGTGAACCCCCACCATCAGATGCATACCGAAATGATATCTTAAGGGACATGAATATGCCCCGTTTGTCCCCCACTTGGTATGGGCCTGAACTATGTTGCCTTGACCTTCATCTACGCCGTCCCGAAAAAGCGTGCCACTAGAAGTCCAAACTTTTATCTACAATACGGGAGAAATAGCACACTTTCACGTGGTTTCGGTACGGTTGGGTGACATAAAAAGACACTTTAAGTATGCTTTTTGTTTGTGATTGGCTTCCACGTTTCATCAAACAGTGTTCTACGGGCACACCTTAGGACCAGTGGCACACTTAAATTGTATCATCATTACACTAAAACCGTGCCACTGACACAGTTGAACTGTATGGTTAGTACACTGAAACCGTGTGATTATACGGCCAAGGGCTGAATAAAAATCGCAATCAGTAATCATCCATTCAAAATAAATTTGAGTATCAGCAATTTAAAATGCTCTTAGACTCCATCAGTGGTTTGAATAGATGCACAGATTCCACATCTGTTTAAATCGCTGGTGTAGTCTAAGTGCATTTGGAATTGCTGGTCAAATTTATTTGGAATGGATAATTATTGATTGCGATTTTTTTGCGATATCTCTGCAGAGATATCGCAAATTTAACCTCTTGAATGCGGTGGTCTATAAAAAAAGGAAAAAGGAAAGGAAAAGCCATTGTCTAGGACAATGTGTCTTTGTCTTAGACAATGACTTTTCCTTTCCTTTTTTCCTTTTTTTATAGACCACCTTGAATGCCGTAAGGCATCTATAAATGACATGAAGAAAATTTTATATGTTGCATATGCTTTTTCGTTCTATCGTTTTAACGAAAACAAAGTGCCAGAGGAACACATGTGACGAAAACAACAGAACGCAAACAGAGAGATTTAATCGTTTTTTTACATATGCATGCCTTTGGAGGCGGAAGAGGAAAAATAACGGCATTCATGAGGTTGTTGCATGGGCTCGCGAAATCTTGCCCCAAGAAAACGACTAAAAGTGCACGAAAGGAAGCACCTTTTGCCGTTGGCCGTGCCATCAATGCCACTGGCATGTTTGAACTATATGATAAGTACACTAAAAGCGTGCCACTGGCATTCTTAAACTGTATCATCAGTAGGCTAAAAGTACAATAAATTGCAAAAGAATCGCATTCAGTAATTCCCTTGACTTTAGTCTAGGGTCTTATAAAATGGTTGTCTGTGTGTCTGTGCACAAAATATCGAAATGGCTGTCAGATATTGTATGGATAAGCGAATGAGAAGAGAGAAAAGTAGAAAATTATTTTTTACACAAGAGAGAAAATATTCAAAGACCGAAAAAATGCAGAGAGAAAAAAAACTAAGCAAACGGATGTCATGTGCTGACCTCGTCTACAATGAAGTAAGTTTGACCTTGTTTCTCTCTACATTCCGTGTGGATCCGTCAGGATCCACATGGATGCCTCTCAATATTCTTTCGCTTAACAGAACAATCCTGTCCCCAAAACAGAACAGTCCGGGTCGCGAAACAGAACACTCCGATTCTTTTATTGAGGAAATTTCTCGGATAACGGGACAATTGTGTTCTGTTCTGTGAATTCTTTTCCCACAGACAAAACGTTTTTGTTCTGCTTGTGGGAATAGTGATTTCTGGGACAGTTCAGTTAAATAAAATTGTATTCGTATGGATCCGCCTTTTCCTCCTTGCAACTGTCACAAAATGAAAAAAGGGCACGTACTATTACACCTCTGCTGAAGGCAAAACAAAATAAAACGTCTTGCACTGTAGATAAAAATGAAGCTAAAGAGCTGGTTAATCCACTGAAAAAAGAACAAGGTGGATATCTATCTTTCTCTTTGAGTACGAAGCCCATCTCCAAAAATTCATTTTTAAAAATAGCCAACTTTCAGGCCTTTCAGCATAAAAAGTGTGCAGTCGAATTTTTTTCTTTTTCTCTCATTTGTAGTACTCGTCGAGCTCTACAAAATGGCATCAAAAATATTTTTGGCCCGCCTCGTTTTTACTCTCCTTTCTCGATCAGCTAAGTCAAAAAAAACAATTACTGTTTTCAGCGGGACTTTTACTCTGATTTTTTCCTTGACTTTAGTCTCGGGTCTTACAAAATGGTTGTCGGTGTGTATGTGTTTGTGTGTGTGCGCAAAATACCGAAAAATGGCTGTCAGATAATCTGTGGATAAGGTAATCACAAGAGAGAAAAGTAGAAAATTATTTTTTACACTAGAAAATATTCAAAGAGATGGCTGAAATAATATTCACTGCGAATGTCGACCAAAGGGAGGCGTGAGCATTCTTCGGTGTTTAGAAGTAGTTTTAAACCTCTAGAAACCTTTGGAGGGTGTCGAGGAAACTTTGTAGATTTATATTAGATTACGACGCTTAAACATCAAATCAGGGAGATATTCATAATATATGTTGTCTTCGATTCAAAATCATGGAAGGTCGTTCACAAATATTAGTTCCTAAAGTCAAAGGGCCGAGCGAGTGCAGGCGAGCGTTACCTTGTGAATCAATGCACACACAAGCAGCCATTTTTTTTAAGTAAGACTCTATAGGATCTTATAAAACGAATGCCTGCCCAAGACCAATTTCTTGATACGTACGTTGCCTGTACATGCACGAGCACAGGCACGTTGCATACATTTTCAGACATGCAACTTGCAAGCCGAATGTTTGTACAGATGTATGTGAATCAAGAGAAATGCATTAATCTTGCATGCCCGAGATGGATACTGCCAATCACGCACACATATTATTTGTTTGATCTAACGATCATGGGCGAAAAAGCCTTCCGTTCGTGTATTCTTATATTTCTTTTACAGTCGATGCTATAGAGGTCGTCATCATCTTATGATGCACAACGATAAAAAAACCTATAACGCAAGAGATAGTTCTCCCTAACCAGATGTCCGCACAATAAAAATTGAATCGGCATGGATATTCCAAAATGAAAAACAGTTAATTAGTGAATTTTCATTCCAGTTTTCATTTTTTATTTAGTGTTAATTAGTACTTCTCACATGACAGG